GCCAAAACTGTAATTTGTATACAGAAGGGGAATTGGAATTAGCTGCGAACTAAGAGAATTACAAGCTTCAACAGCGAAGTTATGCCTAATTGAATTGAATCTCACAAGCACATGAATCCGTTTCACCTGTTCTTAGATTAATTCAATTTCTCATTAATAATAGAATGAACTAATTTGCTTACCTTGCAAATTTTGCATCTCAATTCAAGTTTGTCTTCATTGGAAATCTTTATTACCATATACGAGGGCAATATTCATTTCACTCGTGGTAATTTCTCTAGTCTATTTACGCAATTTACTTGATCAAGAGAAACATTATTAAATATAAGATGACATGCAATTAATTTTTAAAGTTCTAGTTATTTATTTATTTATTTATTATTTTTATTTTATTGTCAACAATATTTAAATCGAGTGGTGCAAGTTGACGTAATAGAATTTCATAAACAAGGCAGCTTCAATCAGATTCGTCACTATGGGTCATTGTTTGTAAAACTAATGGATTGTGTAATTTGAATATAGCATGCACAATTATGGCTAAATTTTAAGAAAAACTAATTTTATTTTCAGGTAATCAATTTTAGATGCAATAAAGTTATACCCAAAAAATTTCTTTGTATCAATTTGCGATTGTTAAAATATGTAATATCCACAAATCGCATTATATTTATGAACGTATTCTAAGACATTTTTAGCAAATAGTCATATTATCTTCTAAATGACAAACAAGTAGTCATTTTTAACTTGGCCAATAGTTGGCTTGGTCCTTAAGGAGGTATTCTGGTCTATAAAAAAATTCATTTTTTTCGCGTATTTTCATAGTTTAACTATTTAAAATTATGTATACGAGAAGATTTTTAAAATTTCAAATTTTTTTGAAGATATAAGTATTATGCTGATCAGGTATCCAAATCGGTTGGGCTGAAATAAATCGAACAAAAGACATATTAGGTTCTCCGACTACCTGAAACTATATTTCTTAGTAAGCCCTTTTGTTCCGTTATATCTATCTATCTATCTATCTATATATATATATATATTTCATGGCAATAGATTTACGGAACAGGATAACACCAGTTTTACGAGTTCATCAGTAGCGAAATTGAGGAAATCAAATGATGAAGAAGTAATTATAGATCATAATTACAGCTACTATGTTTTGGAGTTTTTCACGGTCATTTCAGCTATTTCTTCACTTATATCGTGTACTACATACAACAACGAGATTAGATTTTCAAGAACAGCTCAACGTGGACTCGGGTTCAAAATTGCATTACATGCAGTTGCAATAGTCTACACTACATTCATCATCTCCATTCGTTGACAAATCCTTTAAATTTTATCATTATAAGAGTTATTGATTCGATGTTTGGGTTGAGAGACTCAAAATACTAATGAGTCTCTAAACTCGCTGATATGGACTTTCGCTCCAAAGCATATCCATTCCGGGTCTGATGGACTTTCTCTCCAAAGCATATCCATTCCGGGTCTCAGCTCATTGAAATTGCAACATTTATTGCTGCGTATTTTAATGAAGGATTTATATCGATAATGAAGATGATGACGATTATGTGAGTGAAAATTAGTCCAGCAGCGCATGCATTTGCTAACAGACGAGACAACGCCCGGATTGACCGCTCCGAGATACGACCATCCGGCCCATCAAAGGAGGCCAGAACTGCTCGAAAAGAAAACAGAAACGCCGAAAAATAGTTTTTTCAAAGTCGAGGAAGGTCCGATGTATGCAATAGGAATGGCAGATTGAATAAATGGAAGTTAAATATATAATTGTATGACTTAGACTGCAAAGAATTTTCCTTGAAACTTTAAAACGCGTTTTTCTCAAAACTGTTTTTTTAATCTGATACTCACGATTTCTCAGATTCTGCCCAACCGATTTACTTAAAAATTTTAAGAGTCTTCTTTAGGGACTTGTCTATGTCCATTCCCTACGGCCATTCCCTAATTTTAATTGTTACTATTTTTAAAAAATCGAAGAATGTTAAAAAAGTGGTTCAACATTTGTTTTTATCTTAAGACAATCGGCTTTTTGTAAATCAATATTTCTGTAACTTTCCGTAGTTCCAGACATAGCGACATTACATTAGTCTATTTACGCAATTTACTTGATCGAAGGAATTATTATTGCAATATAAGATTACATGGAATTCATGTTTAAGGTTCTAGTCATTTAATTATTTATTTATTTTGTTGCTAGTATCAGTCAAAGTGGCTGGTGTAAGTTGACGCAATAGAATTTTATAATCAAGAAAGCTTTAATCAGATTCGTCACTAAGAGTCATGGTTGGACGCCTACTGGATTGATTAATTTGAATATAATCTGTACAATTATTGTGAAACTTTTAGGTTATGCAGGTGTTTTTTCAGATATTCTATTCTAGATGCAATAAAGTTATATCCTAACGATTTCTTTATATCAATTAGCGATTGCTTAATTATAAAGTAATTGCAAATCTGATCATATATATAGACGTTTTCTAAAGAGATATTTTGTGGAAAATTCATATTTTCCTCATATTTTAATCAATCAGTCATTTTTAATTTCGCCAATAGTTGGCTAGGCTTTTAATGGGCCAAATATTTGATGTATTGCCAGTTATGAAAACAAATGCATTAACTCGAATACCATTTTAATCGGTTGATAGATGAGATAAACATATTTTATAACGGCTCAGTGAATTATTATTAAATAATATCAGGTAATTGTCCTACTTATTCCATTTAAGTAGATCGTTCTCTCGGGGTCCATATGTGCTTATGGAGTAAATTTCAATTTTTTTCGACACTTCAGAATAAGCTCTTACTTCAGAATTTTGGTGAATATTTAGATCTTGCAATGTGATCATTGTAATCATTTATTATACTAAATTTCTATTTTTTGATTAAGAAAATTCTTATGCTACATGCTTATCGTTTTTCACTTATTAATGTCTAAAGTAAAATTAGGGTTAAGTCATCACACATGCTTCAGGCATTGACTTTAGGTTAATCTTTTCATAAATTTCACTAAAACCACAAGTTTAAAACACAAACTATGTCAATATCACAAATATGTAATAAAATTGTTAGACTTTTAAAAGGTTAAAGATTTTAGATTTTCTAAGAGTAAATTCTTGCAATTTTGTAAAATTGGTCAAAGCGAGAGAGCTTAAATAACCGGAGAATTAATTCAACCCGGCAAAATAATTAGAATACCTAGTATATAAGCCTCACAAAAAGTGAATTTTTCTTTTAAGCAATGCTATGTGACTAACCATCACATGTGAAAATAGATATTTTATTGTTACATGGTGAGATCTAAGTGGGCGGTGTTCTAGCTACCATACTTCAGACAAAGTGGAATAAATATGCTTACAATATTTTTATTCGAAATAATTTCTATAGCCAATTAAATGAAGAATTGAGAGAATTTTCCTTAGATTTTAAGAAACGTATTTCGGAGCGGCTTCTAAAAGATAGTTTCATTTTAACGCACCCAGCGCTTATCCTCGATGAACAGTGACTCATGTGGAAGTGAATGGATTGGCATCGAACAATTGCAGACACAAACACGAACCCCTGTTATTGGTTGATTTTCTCTTACTGGGCTTTTGAATTCATAAGAGGTGAGAAATTTCAAAGAGCACACTTCTAGCTGGAGTCCTAGCATAGGGCAATAGCAAGAACAATTTTATTAGAGCCAACGAATTTGTGAATCATGATTGGCGTTATGTATGTAAATTGCATAATTGCGTGAACTAGAGGTCAGTCATTTGCCAAAATTTTACCCATAAAATTGGCAATTTATTTTCATAACTGAACATTTTAAAAAAAAGTAATATGCGTCACAGATACCTTGCAAGGTACTACCGTGGTGTTATTCTATCCTTCAGCTCTATCATCGCGGTAAGAAAACAATTTCGAAGTTTTAATGTTGAGTCCTTTTCCAGGTCCTCTCTCTCGTTCTTTGCATATATGGTGGATATATAGCTTACCGCGCTAATGTGGAGGAAATTAAGACTAAAGTCTACTTAAACCCTGCTACAACACTTTTCATGGGCATCATAATCTTGATCATTGGATTAATAGGACTTTTTGGAGCTTGGGTAAAGCAGAAGTGGGCTTGTCTAACTGTAAGTAATTCTGCCTTATGTGTTTTACCTACCTCATCTCTTCAGTTTGCGGCTTCATTGACAGTAATGGTGCTTGCGGAAGCCATTGTTGGTATATTAATGATTGCAAACAAATCTAAGGCAAGTTCTGGCTTATAATTTCTCAAACATTGTGCTGAATTATAGATTAAAAGGATTATAAAAGATCACGTAACTGATGCCACAGCTAGATATGAGGGAAGAAATAATTTTTTCGTTGTAAACTGGTTTTATGATATTGTTGATTCGGTAAGTCGATGCATTTAACATTACTTTGATTTGTCTAATAAAACTAATTATTTAATATTCAATCAACCACAAATTTTTCGTCTGCCTCCTACTACTCAAATTCAGGTGGCCTTCGAAGCCATATTCCACGCAATCACCACGGATTTCTTGAAATCTGGAACCTTTCTTGTTGGGATGATCTTCATTCAGTTTTACCTTGTGCAGGTCGCCATCATATTTCCCGCACTGCTCGAAAGAATTAAGTTCTATCTCTATGACATTTAAATACTCTACAAAAACTTGTTCTCAACTATTTTTATGCAGTAAATCAATGAAGATCTGACAACTTTGTTAAATAGTATATTTCAACCTTAGTTGCTTGCAATTATCGATGACCCTATTTAAAAAGATGACTTGAAAGTGCCTTCGTGTGATATTTCTGCCAATTTTATTGAATACTTTTTCATTTCACTTTTACTTTAGTAAAGATTTAAATATTTTACCAAATGTCGTAAAACTTTTGATTTTGGTTGGATCGTTTTGATTGTGGATCCACATATCCAATCGAAAATGAACATTTCTTGTTAAAGGCATGGTAGACTTGAAAGTGTTTGAAATAGATACGGAGAAATGGGTGACCAACTCACTACTCACTTTTATAGTCTTTTTTCTGTGATAATTTGGGACAATTTGGATTTCGTTCTTAGTCATACCTTTCTCAGTGTACATGACACTAGTTTCAATTAGTTTAAAACGCTTCAATATAGCACTGAGCAAACTCATCCCTGTTTTATGAAGTTGGGGTGAAACCACGTCTTAGCTATTTGAATACGTTGAATGGAACCGAAGTAATATCAAAATTTGGTCACTGCTTGATGTTTGAATTTTCATGGGTCCCGAAATTTTCTTTATTATTGGCAAAGTGAAAATCCATTCGCTTTGGGTCTCTTTGCCAGCTGAAGACATTGAGATTTGGAAGACATTCTGAAATATAATTTTGTTACTCTTAGAGCAGACTACGAAGAGTTAAAATGCTACCTATGAAGGTCTTTAAATGAATTTTATTTCTTATTTACTCTCCAAGTAAACAGGAAATAACGTCTCTGAGGGGAGACTTTGAGGAGAATGCAAATGGTTACATTGTTTCAGTGAAAATTTAAAGAAACCATTATTAGTATCCAGAAAACTTAACAAGCCCCCTTCTCACTTGCGTGTAGATAATAGAGGCTTAATTAAAGATAGTCTTAATTTGAAAATAGAGTGCTCCATGTTTAGAATAACTAGACTAATAATTCGGATCTCTAGAGCATTAAACTGGGTGTGCATTTTCAAGGCCACTATCAGTTTGCATTGTCTAATTCCCGTACCAGTAAATCATTATTCAAATTTGAATTTAAAACGCTATTTATTTGAGAGTTTTGAAACGGAAATTCGTGTTTACGCACTGAAAATTGTAAATGATGCTTGGACAATGTTGATAGCGCTCATTTTAAGTTATTAAAAAAATTCTTAGAAATAATGTTTATCAAATCTATCATAATTAAATTTTTGCTCGGTTATTGATTAAATATAGATGCATGATAAAAATATGCTATTTTGAAACATTACTATCTGGGGCGATTAGTTAAAAACCTCTTTTCTGTGTGTTTATTAATTTTATACTTTAGCCACGTGATCAATTTGGCCTCACATGTTGGAATTTGTTATGCTTTCTTCTAAAGGTCAGCATGACGGAATTTTTGAAAAATTCACAGCCTCTGGTAGTTCTTGCATTTATGTTTGCAAAGCCTCGTATTGGTTACTGCTCTTGGCGAAAATTGTTATGCACTCAAGCGCCTTAAGCCCCACTAGCCACTGTGAACATTACGTTCTTCGAAAGGCATAGTTATGCCATAATGCAAGAGCGTCTGAATAATTAGGAACTATAAGATTATCGTCTCTGAGTTCGGTGGAAAAAGGTTTTTGAAAGATAGGAAAAATTTTGTTAAGATTACAAATAAAGCATCACTCTAAGATATAAGGAATCCAAGCTATTAAGTAAGGTTTCGAAATCGATTTTTAAAATATTCAATCGAATTGTTGTTCTGGAATCGTTTCCATAATTTTAATCAATCATCCACTGATTTCACTATGCAGATAAATAGCAATTAAAGAGGCTATCCACTATCTCACCAACGACAATGTTACCACCTCTAGTGGATTAGAAAATTGTCCTTGTTTGCACTTGGTGGAAAAGTAAGAAATACCCTAGTACTTTAACTCCTTCTCTATTTACATAGTATACATAGTCATTATTTACTTATTTCAAAATAAAAAATGACAACCACTACCTTGAGTGAAATTTCTTCAGAGAAATTTCGAGGTCAAACAACATGAATTCTCACTGTATTAAATGAAGTGAAATTTTCTCGTTTTCTATAAGAGCGAAGGTCAATTTTTGTTTTATAACAAGGAGCAGATCACTATTTTCAAACATGTTCCTTACTTCCGCTTATGTAAGACTTCATATACAGTAAAATATAATAAATATATTATGATTAACCAGTTGAAGCGTTTATTGTTTTCACTACACCCGGATATGCATTATTTGGTTCTTAAAACAACAAGTTATTATTTAATATTTATGGGAGTTCTGAGATTCACCATTTTGTTAAAAATTGATCATTGACTTTGACTTTGCACAATTTTTATTTTATTAATTCAATTGAAATGAGTCACTGCTTAATAACCACGCCAAGTAATTGATTTAAGCAGCCCAAGTGCGTAATCCTTTGCACATGCATGCGTTAGTTCGCAAGTAAACATTTGTTTAATTCTCTGAATTATTAATCAATTAATCACGGCTGCTTAGAAATTCATGATCTTTGTAAATTTGTGAGATGAAAATTTTGAACTATTTTTTCCATATGCTACTAATATATTTCAAATAGCAAATTACGTGTCGACCTGTCTACCCTTCCGAGTTTTATTAAAAGACTTTTTGTTAATTGGCAGATTATTTAAATGAAGAGACGACTGTTTCATAAGGATATCTTAGAAGTACAACGGTAAGTGTTGAGTTGTGCCACACAGTTGAGAATAGTAAAACTGGCTCTAGTCAAACTCATGATTGCAATTTTATAAAATATTTTTTTTCAAACTGGAAAGAGTAACAAAACTATTGGAGACGAATCCTGAGTTCAGGTTTTTTAATAGAGGACGAAATTAGATCCGCTATTGGTCTCCATTTTATTTCTTAATTGTTCTCTCTCATAATATTTCAATCCAAATTCAATTTTATGCAGTTTCAGTTGTTTTGACAAAGGTAATCAATTAAGAATGAATGTTTTGTCTATATTGGTACAAGTAAACTTTCGTAAATGGATTAAGGTGAGTTAATTTTATTAGTCTTTGGAACAAATTCAGTTCAACGAGCAATTTGCCAATTTATTATTCGACTCACATAAAATCGTTATTTTTTAATGATTAACTGAAAATATTTTCGTAACGAACAAAGAATCGTGAGATGTATCTGTAAATTAAGGAAGATGCACTTTTGGGGTACAGGTTAGGATAGTTTACAGTTTTAAATTTCAAGATTCTCTCACGGTTTTCAATGCAGTAAGATGATCTGACTGATTGTTATGGCAGGGAATACCACTTGAATGCGATTTTTCTTGTAGTGGACAATGTTCTTTTATTATATTAACTTAAATCGATTAAACGGAAGCGAGAGAAAAAATCTTTTTTGGTGTGATTAACGATGTGTTCAATCATAACGACACAGCGAAATGAAAGATCTATAAATTTTAAAATATTTATGAATGGTATTGTTGTTCTTCTATTGATTTCTTATACGAAATGGACGTTCCACAATCTGAAGTGCAAATTCGGAAATTAATCAGATAAAAAGTCAAAATTTGTGTTTCTATTCTTACCTAGAGCACTGACATGCATGCCTAGAATTAGGAACAAACGAAATATTTAGATTTCTCTCAAACAAAATATGGATTGGCAATTATACCGATAACTCAATTTAATGTTAAAAATATTGGCTCCACAATTTGAAAATGTAAACCGGTTACATTAGCGATGAAACTACACATAATACTGCTGTTTTATCTGGATAAATATATCTTAGATTACGTAAAAGAAGTTGTGATTAGAATAGAGTTTTTCGATCAGCTCAAGATTGATGCATTTGAAGTTTCCTTCATTAGCGTGATAGCGTGACATTTCTTAATTCATGAAATACCAAATTCGACTTATTGTGGTGGAGATTTTTATTAGATGTATTTTTCCTAAATTCTTTAGTCTCAAAATTAGTGCTAAAAATAATCTTATTTAAGGAAAAAAATTACGAAAATAAATGACTTGTTATCAGTCAATTAAAATAAATTGCTTTAACTTATTTTTTGAACAGATCATTAAAGTCTATGAGTTGATTATTCAATAATATTTATGAGAATGAATGAGCATTTGCTCATATATTTGCACTTGAAATAAATGTGAAATTTTGTGCATTTATAAATTCTATTAATGAGTTCGAAAGAGTTGGTATGTTCAAAAGTTTTAACGCATTAGTCTAAGATATAATGAAACTAAACCATTAAGTAGGGTTTCGAAATCGACTTTTATTGGGTTGGCAAATAAGTCATTGTCGTTTTTGTTGACAGATTCACTCTATACTTTCTTTTGTTTTGTTAACGTGGCCAGAGCATCTAACCTATATTTTTTTCTTACCGTAAG